TGTCAGTTTGTTGAATGTTTTTCTTGTTGTGAAGATGCAAGTGAAGGTCTCCAAGCACTTCATATGTTGTAAAACGGAAAGTACCAGTATTATTCTTATCCGACCCAAATAACCACAAAATGTTACAAACATTTAAGATTTCATTTTCAATTCCTTAGAGATGGCATCTTTCCAGCTAGGATTAACTTCAGTATGGAGTCCATGAAGTCTGAGAAATTGGGTCCTGGAAAGCCAGAGTCCAGAGGTGGCTGTGTGGCTTTGATTGGTTATGTCTGAGTGACTTAATTTTTAGGTGATGGGTGATAGACCAGTTTCTGTAGCTGAGTCACAATGAGACTGCTAATGCTAAATTAAGTGATTTTTTTAAACAGTGCTTAGTACAGTCACGTGCCACATAAAAACATTTCAGTCAGCAATGGACCCTCATATACAACAGTGGTCCCATAAGATTATAATGGAGGTGTAAAATTCCTATCATCTAGTGACATTGTAGCACAATGCGTTACTCATGCGTTAGTAGTGATGCTGGTGTAAACAAACCTGTGCTGCCAGTCATCTAAAAATATATAGCACTTATAATTATATATAGTACATGATACTTAATAATGATAATAAATGACTATGTTGATGTATTTACTATACTATAATTCTAGCGTTATTTTAGAATATACTCTTTTTACTTATAAAAAAATGTTTACTGTAAAACAGTATGCCATACTATGCTGGCAGCAGTCTCATATCTGGTGTTTATTGCATCTCTTGATTGCATCATTCTCTCTTGTGCTTGATTTAATCTGGTGTTGTTTTGTTCATCATAGCCCCTACGTATACAAAACCCACTGCCAATGTTACCAGTAAGAGGCCACTTCGAGAGATTGACCTGGAAATGAAATTAAATGTGATTAAGGACTATGAAGGTGAAAAGTCAGTGATGGTAATAGCTCGCCAGTCAGGTATGTCCCCCTCCACCATAGCAACAATCTTGAAGAACAAGAACAAAGTGACGGAAGCTGTTAAAGGATCTGCTTCATTGAAGACGAGACTAACAGAAATTCGAGAAGGGCCTATATCAGACATGAAGAAACTTCTAATAACCTGGATTGAAGACCAGGCCCAGAATTGTATCCCTCTCGCACCATGACAATCACAGCCAAAGCAAAAAGTTTGTTTGCAATGTTGAAAGAAAAGGCTGGACCCAACTACAGTTTTGAATTTACTGCTAGCTCTGGGTGGTTTAAACGATTCAAGAATCTTTTTTCATTACATAATATGAAAGTAAGTCGTGAATCTGCTGATGTGAAAGCAGCTGAACAATTCTTGGAAACTCTAGATAAGCTGATTGTGGAGGAAAATTACTTGCCAGAACAAATATTCAATATGGATGAAACTTCCCTATTCTGGAAACAGATGCCTGAAAGAACTTTCATCCATAAGGAGGCCAAGTCAATGCCAGGTTTCAAGGCTTTTAGGGACAGGATAACAGTCTTACTTGGGGGCAATGTTGCAGGCTACAAATGGAAACCCTTTGTGATCTGGCACAGTGAGAACCCCAGGACCTTCAAGCATGTCAGTAAGCACACTGCCAGTGTACTACAGGAGCAATAGGAAGTTATGGATGACACAACTCCTCTTCCAAAATGCCCTTCTTAATTGCTATACCCATGAAATGGAAAAGTACTGTTTGGAGATTTTGCTTTCAAGATTTTGCTTATTGTTGATAATGCTCCTGGACACCCTCCTTTTATTGGTGACCTTCATCCCAATATCAAAGTGATGCTTCTCCCTTCAAACAGTACCTCTTTGATTCAACCAATGGATCAAGGAGTTACAGTAGCTTTTAAGCCCCACTACCTGAGGAGCGCCTTTGCCCAGACTATTGCTACAACTAAGAAGACACGAATGCAATTCTGGAAGGACTACAACATCTATGATTGCATCAAGAACCTTGCTTGGGCTTGGGGTGATGTCACCAAGGAGTGTATGAACGGCATCTGGAAGAAGACACTCCAGAGATTCGTCCATGACCTCAAAGGATTTGCCAAGGATGAGGAGGTTGCAAAAATCAACAAGGCTGTGGTTGAGATGGCAAATGACTTTAACCTGGGTGTGGACGAGGGTGACATTGGGAAGCCCCTAGAGGTTGTTCCTGAGGGACTGACTAATGAGGAGTTGTTGGAACTGGAGCAGGAATGCATAGCTGAAGAAAAGGCAAGAACAAAGGAAACTACAGGGGAAGAAAAAGAACCCCCAAGAAAATTCACAGTGAAGGGTTTAGCAGAAGCTTTTGCAGACCTCAGCAAGTTCTTTAAAAAATTTGAGAACATGGACCCCAACACTGAAAGGTTTTCATTAATAGAGAGGGATGTTCATGGCGCATTATCTGCTTACAAGCAAATCTATGATGAAATAAATCAAGCAAACCACAATGGACATATTTCAGAAAAGAGGGACACCTCAAGAAGAGCCTCAGGCAGGTCCTTCAGGAGGTGTTCCAGAAGAAAGCATTGTTATCACAGACAACAGCTTCACACATGTTATTGCCCCAGAAGACCTACCCGTAGGACAAGATGTGGAGGTGCAAGGCAGTGATGTTGATCAACTTTACCCTATGTAGGCTTAGGCTAATGTGTGTGTTTGTGTCTTAGTTTTCAACAACAAAAAAAATTTTAAGGAAAAAAGTTCTAATAGAAAACTTATTTATACAATAATATATAAAGAAAAACTAATATTTTTGTACAGTTGTACAATGTGTTTGTTTTAAGATAAGTGTATTACTTGGGCCGGCTGAGTGGCGCATTGGTTAAGAGCTGGCTTGGGACGCCAGAGGGCCCTGATTCGGATCCCACATATGGGGGCCAGTGACACTGCCCTCTACAGCTAAGATGCTGAACAACAGCTCAACCTGGAGCTGGGCTGCCATGAGTCGCCGGCGAAGGCGTAGGCTGCAGCCCCTGCTGCAGTGGGTTGCCATGGGCTACCGTGTGTAGCCAGCAGCCAGCGTGAGTGGCCAGCAACCACTGTGAGTGGCTGTCCAAAAGCCGACGACCGATCTGCCTCGCCCGGGAAGAGCGCAATGATGGTGCCAACTTGGGCCAGTGAAGCAATGTCCTCCACAACTAGACTGAAGAACAAAAGGACAGCAACTTGTCTGTTCCCCTTTCCCGATTCCCCAAGGCTGTTTCCATCTCCCAATTCCCCAATTAAAAAATAAAAAAGATAAGTGTATTACAAAAGAGTGGAAAAGTTGTAAAAATGTTACAGTAAGCTAAGGTTAATTTATTATCGAAGAAAGATAAATTTTTAAAATAAAAGTGTAGTCCAAGTGTACAATGTTTATAAAGCCTACAGTAGTGTACAGTCATGTCCTAGACTGTCACATTCACTCACCACTCATGATTCACCCAGAGCAACTTCCAGTCCTGCAAGCTCAATGGTAAGTGCCATTTTTTACTTTTTATACCATATTTTTACTGTACCTTTTCTGTTTGGATATATTTAGATACACAAATACTTACCATTGTGTTATAGATGCCTACATATTCAGTACTGTAACACACTGTACAGGCTTTTAGCCCAGGAGCAATAGGCTATACCAGCGGTCAGCAAACTGCGGCTGGCAAGCCACATGTGGCTCTTTGGGTACATACATGTGGCTCTGAAGTAAAATTGAAAATGAAAATAAAACTATCAGTTTTCATTTATAAATATTTTAAAGGATATTCACATAATGGTGATTTCATTTGTTTTATGGTTCTCGAATAATTTTTAAATTGTTGTGAGGGACAGGATTGGCTCTTCCATCTCAAAAGTTTGCCCACCTCTGGTCTATACCATACAGCCCAGGTGTGGGGAAGGCTAGACCATCTAGATTTGTGTAAGTGCACCATGCTGTTCGGACAACTACGAAATTGCTTAACGCATTACTGAGCATGTATCCCTGTCTTAAAGCTACACATGACTGTATATGCCAAACACTTACAGTCAGTGGGAATGCAACCCTAAACAGGATTAAGAAGCTTATGTCTTTCTGGGGCCCTAGTTCCATCAAGGAGGGATAAAATGGGCTGAAGGAGTAGATTATATTATAGAGGGAGAAGTGGTATGTATGAGATAAGGGAATTACCCCACACACATTTAGAAAGTCACAAATTACAGATGCACAAAACACCAGACAAAATCTAAATCACTCCTATCCTGAAGGTCCGCTTCTAGACCCGCCGCCTTAAGCCGCGCTTGTTGCCCTTGACATGCAGGCAGGCAGTGCCCTTGCTCGCTGATGGCCTCCTGGATTCTCGCTGAAAAGTCCCCTGAGCCAGCTCCCACTTTGTGAAGCCTGACAGCTGCGCCTGCGCACTGGGAACCTGGCGAAGGCTCCCAGAAGCCCCCGGGGTCTGCTGGCTTGGAGCCGGTCTGCTCTTCTGGGACCGAGAGCCAAGCCTGAGAGGCTTCTAGGCGGCTTTGTTCCCGACCAGGTGGCCTCTATAAGGGGCAGAGGGCAGTGATCACCAGTCCGGGAAGGGAGCCTGCCTGGCAGCCTCATCGCCTGATTTCAGGACGCTATTGCTGCCCCTGTGGGAACTACATTTCACAGGGGCCGTTGCGGCGGGGGACACGCCCACTTCCGGCGAGGGTTTGAAGTGTGAGCGAGTGGGGCGGGTTCTGAGGAGGAAGCCGCGAGGGGCGTGGGCCTCGGCTGGGCACCCTGGGAAGATGCTGGGGCGGACCTGAACATGCGCGCGTGACTTGGTGACCGTGCCCAAGGGTGCGTGGTATGTGTGTGTATCAGAGGCTGCGAGGAGGAGGCGGGTGCGTGTGATGGGAAGCTTGTGCAAGTGTAGGGTGTGACTGGTAGGGAGGGCGGGGCGCCCAAGACTGGCGCGCGTTTCCGTGCCCATTCCAGCAGCATGTGAGACGGTGTGTATTGGAATGAATGAGAGATTTAAGGGTCTGAGAGCTGGAACTCTCCCGGAGGATACCACCCAGCACCAATCCACACACAGACGCAACCACCAAGAAGCCAGCGTGGGCCAAACCCTAAGAGTCCTGGACAAGTGCCGGATTGGGGTGGGGCGGCTGAAGCATCTTGCTGTCCCACCTGGCGGGGACGGAACTCGGGATATGTCCATACGTCCACTGGACTGAGGACCAAGGTAAGAGCTGCAGATGGCTGGGGTGCAGCTGCAAGAGTGGAAGTTAAGATTTGGGGGTGCTATTCCTCGGGGCCGAGGTGTTGGAGGAGGATGTCCCTGTCCTTAAAGGCCGGTATACCCAGGAGCCTTTCGGCTAGAGGGTCACCTTGGGCTAGAGTATAGAGCTTAATTCAGGGAGGGATCTTGACTTGTCACAAGTCACCTAACCAGACCCCCCTACCCCGTCTTTGTGGGTATCTCCAAGGACCCAGCGGGGAAAGAGCATTCCCTTCCCCATCAGAACATCACCTCTGGGTGCTCTGCTGCTCTTCAAGGAGGACCTCAGTATTTACATTTTTACGTGTCCGAGTACTGTCCCATATATCACTGTGGAATGGGACTTGGGAGAAAGGCGAGATTCAGTTTCATCTGGCAGTGCTGAGAGAACCCAGCCTTTATGGTTTAGTCACCTACCTTCTAGTAAGTGAACCAAAACGTTCCCATTCCTCCCTCACAGTTCTCTCACTTTACGACACGCCCCACTACAGTGGGTAAGGAATGGGGAGAAGTACTGTAGTACATAGTGTTCCTGGCTTGTTTCACTGCATGCCATAATGATAGCTAATGTTTACTGCCTGCTTACTGTGGGTCAGACAAAGTTCTAAGACCTTTGGGGAGTATCAACACGAAACCTCACAACATAATGAAGTGAAAACTACCTCACCTCCTTTTCAAAGATGAGGACACCAAAGCATAGAGAGGACGAGTAATCGCCACTAAGTAGAGGAGCCAGGATTCACATCCAGGACAGGCTGACTGCAGTGTCCCAGTCTGTACTGGCTGTCATGTAATCCCCTCAACAAGGGCTTGAGATAGGTATTCTTACCCACTTTTGACCGTTGAAGAAACCAACTCTGAAAGGGTTAAATAACTTCAAGAGTTCGTATCAGAAAATCTCTGCTGAGCAAGGTTTTTTCTTTTTTTAATTTTCTGACCTAGTTTCTCTTATGTAAAATGGAGATAAGATATACCTCATAGGATTGTTACAATGATTATATGAACTCATTAAATGAGTTCATTATATGAACACTAAAGTAATTGGTGTAGTCCCTGCCACACATTAAGTGTTTGTTCTTATTATCATTATAATAATGCTTTCAAGAAGCAGCGGAGTTTATAGGAAAGAAACCAGAATTAAGAAACACTTCTATCCTTTTCCTAATAGAAGAAACTTGGCTTGGGGAACAAGGGACTTTTTCAAAACTATAGTTTGACACAAAGCAAAATGAGAACCTGGATCTCCTGATGGTTTTTTTGGTCCAGTTATCTGCAAGCCACGTGGACTCTCTGGGGAAGATGGCTTTTTCCGTGTCTCATTGAATCAAGTGGAATCCTGGCTAGTTAGGAGACATATTTCTTGTTATATTCTGGTGTCTGCTTGAGCAAATAACTTGGGTACTGGAGTCAGGCAGACCTAGGTTGGTGACTGAGCTCCATTATTTGCAAGAAGTGTGAATTGTACAAAAAGGCTTCACTTTCCAGAGTGTGAAATTTCACTTTCATGTGTGAAATGTTGATAGTAGTTCCTGTTTTCATTGAAGATTGTCAAGGTTAAGTCAGAGTAGTAATAATATCTATAGCATACCTGGTACATCTCTAGTTAATGAGTGGGTGGCTTTGACGGAGAGGGGTGTGCTCAGCCTGAAAACCCAGAGCAGAGCAGAACCCCAGCTGTAAATTATGTGTCTTCCAGTGAGTACCTGGACTGTGAGGGGTGGGTGGATGGGTGGGAGTGGGGGATTGAACAGGGAACAGAAGGGAAGAAAGAGTTCCCAGGCCGTGATGCTCATGTCACTACTCCTTTCTCCTCCCCCACTCTGCCCTTTCAGGGTAAAACCCTTCAAATGAGGAGCCAGGAAGAGGAGGAGGTGATGGGGATCGAACTCCTTAAAGCTATGTCCCTGGTGAGTTAGTAGTCCCTCTCTCCTCCTCACAATACAGTTTTGCTTTTCAGGATTTGGTAATGTTTGTTTCCTTCTGAGAACTTTCTGCTTACGAGTTCCACCCTGGGACCTGACTCTGTTTCTTCCCTTTGTGATGAATGGTGGGATCACAGGGAGAGACTCAAACAGCCCAGTGATCTCTCAGAGCTTCTGCTTCTTCCTAGTTGGTGTTTATTCTTCATTCAAGAAATGACCCACCTGAGCCCTTCCCTGTGCTCAGTCTTTTCATAATCATCAGACTACTCAGAAATCCAGTCCTTAGAAGAAATTTGAGAGCCACAATCTGCCTCATCCCTAAGTCCCCCTCCTGGCTCTTAGGGAGCGTGCAGTCTATTGGAGCAAAGTGATCACTGCTGGGCATGAAGAATAGACTTCCTGTAGAGTGGTGGGGGAGGGCCATTAATAGCCCCCATCAGCACCTTTGGGTGAATTAGAAAAAGGTGCCCATTCCTGTTGACTGAACCTCTGTGACAGGTCACAGTCTAGCAAGAGGAAATCTTTATTTTAGCTCCTTTTTGCCTCCTTGGTGAGGGATCCTTGTACAGGATGTAGCCTGCACAGTCATGCTCACTGTTGGAGGCGGGCAGGCGGTGGGAGGACTTGAATCACAGAGGAAGTGATTCCTGAGTTGCATCTTGAAGGACGTGGAGAGGATCAAAACTAATTTTAAATAGTAAAATTGTTTTTATTTTTATATCAAAGACACAATGAGCAGTTTATATCAAAACCGAACACCTTTTGTTAGCAAGATATAATGCCAAAAAACATGGTCTACCAGTGGAATGTGTTCCTTTGAGCATTTAAACATTTGCAATAAAAGCGCCATTGTCAAAGGAAAATATTTTAAGAGTGGCAGAGTATGGCATAAAGGTTAGTAACATGGACTCTTGAACCAGATCTGTAAGATGAGAATAATAATAGTACTAATTTATAGGACTGTTGTGAGGATTTATAGGTTAATATATTTTAAGTGTTTGAGAAGTACCTAGCACATGATCAGCATTATATAAGCATCAGCTATATATGCCACTATGTGCCTGTGTAGCTACTGTTTGCCTATGTGCCCATTTAGTTACACACACACACACATACACACACACACACATTGAAGATTACAATATGATGATTACGAAGTTTGACAAGTTTGTGAACTTGTTGCAACGATGTTGCTAACCTTTTTTGATATCAGAGGGATTATTCATTATGAATTTGTACCAACTGGACAAACAGTTAACCAAGTTTACTATTTGGAAGTGCTGAAAAGTCTGTGTGAAAAAGTTAGACGACCTGAACTTTTCACCAACAATTCATAGCTCTTGCATCACAACAATGCACCAGCTCACATGGCACTGTCTGTGAGGGAGTTTTTAGCCAGTAAACAAATAACTGTATTGGAACACCCTCCCTACTCACCTGATCTGGCCCCCAATGACTCCTTTCTTTATCTGAAGATAAAGGAAATCTTGAAAGGAAGATATTTTGATGACATTCGGGACATCAAGGGTAATATAATGACAGCTCTGATGGCCATTCCAGAAAAAGAGTTACAAAATTGCTTTGAAGGGTGGACTAGACTTTGGCCTTGGTGCATAGCTTTCCAAGGGGAGTACTTCGAAGGTGACCATAGTGATATTCAGCAATGAGATACTTAACACTTTTTCTAGGATAAGTTTGTGAACTTAATTGTCCAACTTGTAGTGCACAAGAAGCATTGAACACCAAGAGGCTTTTTATTTCCAATGAAATACTAATTTTAAAAACAGTAAGAATTTACACTGAATTTGGGCAAATCCTTGTTCTGGGTAAGATGGACTGAGCATACTCCACTCTGCCTTCCCCAGTGAAGCTTCTGTAAAACCACAACAGCATTCCTGGAACAGCAATTAGAGGCCTCTAAAAAGTGAATAGTAGCAGGCAGATTGGGGAAGAAGCCCAAAATGTAGAGTACCACCAAACATGTGATGTGTTTGCCTTTTATTCCCTTCCCAATACCTTGTAGCATGGATTCAACAAGCATAAAACTCTGAAGTGGTATTGGCATGAATAGAAAGAACTACAGGAGAAACAGTCTAGTTCAGGCTCAGGAGGTGGATAAGGGATCTGATGCTCAGAGAGTGGCAGTGGGATCTCCCTTTAATAAAATTTTTCTCTGTTTTCTTGTGCCCTGACAGTGGCAGTGAGGGTCTTGAGGAGTCTAAAACTCGGAGGGAGGAGTTTTCTCTGTGATTGGAGAAACTGTGTTCCCCAGAGGGTGGGAGAAACTCTGCCTGCTTTTTCTTCCTGCTTCTGTCCTCACCCTGCTTGAACCCAGGGGCTGGGTACAGTCATGGCAAGTGCACAGTGGAATGGACTAAATAAGCTCCCAGTTACCTGGCTGGAGGACTAAAAGGGGAGCACCTGGGAAATGGAAAATACTGGAGAGATCACAGAGAGGATGGAGCTTCAGAAATCAACCACATGAAGTTGTTTATGAACTGCAGGGCTTACTCTGAGCTGCTCATGCATGTATCTGATCTTAAAACTAAGGGTTAGACCACTGTCCATGAGTGGTACACAGTAGGACAGGTTAATATCACTGCAAAGGCTTTAAAAATACAGCTGCTTTTGAAACACAGCTCACGGAAGACAAGTTAGAACGTACAGCCTGAACACAATATCAACATTCTCTATAGAATTTAAACAAGACATAGTCTCATAACATCCAAGATGTCAAGGATATAATACAAACTTATATAGCTAATGAAAAACTAGGAAAATTTTAATTCACAAGGGAAAAGACAATCACCCAACACTAACATTGATGTGACACAGAGGTTGGCATTATCTGATAATGACTTTAAAGCAGCTATTATGAAAATGCTCCAACAAGTAAGGGTGAACATTCTTGAAACAAATGGAAAGATATTCTCAGTCAATAAATAGAAAAGGTCAAGAAACGATAACTATAACAACTAAAATAAGCTCACTGGATGGGCTTAGTGGCACAGTGGACTTGACAAAGGAAAGAGTTAGTGAACTTGAAGACAAAGAGAAACTAATCTGAATAACAGAAGAAAGATTAAACAGAGCCTCAGGGCCCTGTAGGACAATACCAAGATGTTTAACATTTATATCATTGAGTCCCCAAAAAGAGGAAAAAGTGGAGTGCAGAAAAAATATTTGAAGAATAATGGCTGAAAATTTTTCAACTTTAGTGATGCATGTGGATCCAACTTGTGGATGCATGAAGCTCAGCAAACTCCAGTGTGATAAACTCAAAGAAATTCCCACTTGAAAACTTTGTAATCAGATTGCTGAAAACTAAAGACAAGGAAAAACAATCCTCGAAAGCAGCCAGAGAAAAATAATGCTTAACATAAAGAGCAACAGGATTTGAATAACTGAATTTCTCATCAGAAACCATGGAAGTCAGAGGAGGTAAAACAACTTTTTTAAAGAAAAGAACTGTCAACTCTGAATTCTGTGTCCAGTAAAAATAGCCTTCAAGAATGAAGGTGAAATAGTTTCTCATATGAAGAAAAACTACAAATGTTCATTGACAGATTTCTAAAAGAATTGCTAAAGGAATTTCTTCACATAGAAATTATACCAGAAGGGAATTTGGAACATCAGGAATGAAGGAATAAGTGCAGCAGAAATGGTAAATGTGTATATGTAAATACAAAAGACTGTTCTTTTGAGTTATTTAAAATATCTTCAATGTTTAAAAATAAAACTTGTAGTTTAGGTTTCCTGAACAGAACAAGATTTGAGCATAGATGGTCTGGCTTTAGAGACCATGTTCTTAACTACTATAGTATACTGAAATTAGATAAAATAGAAGTAAAACTTATTGAAGTATTAAACCAAATGAAATGTTTCACCTAGTCTCAGCCTCCCCTTTCTTCTCTTCTTTCCCACCCCTCCTTCATCATTATCATAGGTAACAATTCTTGAGCACTTAGCCCTGCAGTTACTTTGCCTGTTAATTCATTTATTTCTCACAATGCTACTATGAGGTGGGTACTAAAATTATTTTCATTTTCAGGTGGGTAAAGTGAAGCATGGGGGAGTTAATTAACTTAGCCAAGATCACTCAGCTAGTTAGTACCAAAGTCTGAATTCTTTAGAGTAATCTGACCTTTTTCTCTGGTACTTATTTAAAATTCTTCCGTAGATGTTGATATAAGTGAAATCACAAAATAATAATTGGAAAATCTGCTGGCAACCTCAAAATGGGTGCCTGACACCAATTGGTGGTTGGTTAGGAAATTAAGCCTATGTAACAAAACACAGGTTGCTTGCCATGCTTAGCTCATATGATCTCTCCTAGTAGTTTTTAGCAGATCATCAAAAACCAACTATCCAAAGGTGTTCTTCTCTCCTAATCCAAATATATTTTTATTTCAAAAGTAAAGAATGTTGCTGGACATTTTTTTTCCACTTTTTTAGGCACACCTCTTAACATTGCAAAAACACTAAGATTTCTTGGACTATATTATGGAGATTGAAATCATGTTCATCAGGTCAGCATCCTTCCTTGAAACTTTCCCTTGCAGTCCCAGAGCTCTTCAATTTCTCCATGTAGAAAAGTGACATAGCTCCTAACATAGATAAAATAATTTAGTACTTGATACCGTTTTGAATGCAGTCAACATTTTTCTCATAAATGCTCATAAATTTCATAGAACTGTAAATGCTACATGAGCAGAGAGCATCTCATAGTTTTTCTTTTTTCCTAATATGTACATATTAACTAGGCAGAAAAGTTGTCCAGTAACTAACTACCTCACCTGGATCATTTAGACCCCTAGTACAATTATGCACGATGTTTGTTTTTATCTCCAAAGTGTGAACAACATAATCCTTTACCCTAGGTCCAGCTAAATGGGGCATGAACACTGATTGAGTAAAATTATATGTGTGTCATTTCAGGATTCAGTGACTTTCGCAGATGTGGCCATAGACTTCTCCCAAGATGAGTGGCAATGGCTGAACCTTGCTCAGAGGACTTTGTACAAGAATGTGATGTTGGAAAACTACAGGAACCTGGTGTCAGTGGGTAAGAGCATCTTTCTCCTTGCACCTCCCCATAGGAGCCTTTCCACTGCAGCCATCTTTCTTACCTATATCAGCATTTTCCTACAATGTCCCTCTTCTCTCAATAGCATTTGGACTGGGTCATAGCTCTGGAATGGCCACACCGTAGCCAATTTTCTTATTTTATATGCAGGTCTTTGCATTTTTAAACCAGATGTGATCTTCTTATTGGAGCAAGGTAAAGAGCCCTGGATGACTAATGGAGAGATGACAGGAGGCCTGGACCCAGGTAAGTACAGGATTACTGGAGCTGGGGTAACTATTCTCAAAATGTTTCTTCTCTCTAAGACTTGTTGGAAAACACCTATCAAAATCCCTCCCTGCTCCTTTTTTTTTTCTTATAATATTGTGCTTGGGCTTTCTGGCTATGTGGTCCTGCCCATGCATGGTGGGATTGGCACTGTTTAGCAAACGACTTAGTTCTCTCAATATGATCCCTGTGACTCAGACAGTAGAAACAATTTGTTTCTTTCTCTCATTTTATGAAAAACCTTTCCCAAATTGAACCTTCTTGTTCTAACATCATTTCTAAATGGACCTTCTTTTCCCCACTGGTATGACCTACCACCTTTACCTCTATTGACTTCCCACAAATCCCACAGTCTGTTTCTGAACTCTGTTATGTTCCATTGATGTTTACCTAGCTTTGCTCAAGCACCATATTGTTTTACTCATTTCCGACTTTCAACATTTCTGAGTTCTTTAGACAAATTTGTGTTTAGATTTTTGAACTGGTTTAAATATTTTCCTTTCTTTAAAATGTGAGTTTATTGGGTTAACAAGTTTTATAGCTATATTTCCTCAGCTTTTCATTATTTTTCTCTTTGGTGCTTTCTGTTATTGTTATTTATTTTTGCTTTGTTGTTTGTGTCTATTTTTTTACCCCTTCACACATCCCACCCCTTGAATTGGAAAAGTTGCTAGTCCCACAAGTTGTTACCTTTATATCTTTATATATTTTAAAATCTGTATTTTAAAATTCATCCACTTGAGTTTCAAAACACCATCTTTTGACACCCATATGAAAGATGCAGAAATGAGCTCACTGATGTTCCTCCTTCCTCTTCATTTATAACCTCCTTACTTTTATTGCAGTCATTGGGATTTTGGGCCAAGTTTATTTTCTTCAAGTATAATTATTTATTTTTTCCTTGCCTTACTTGAAAGCAGTTTTTCTGGTTTAGAAAACGAGTTAACAGCTTATAGATATATATTTCAGGGAAGTGAGCCTCATGTGAGATGGTTGCAGTTTGTTCTGTGACTGTAGTGTGGCCCTTCTCTGTTCTTAGTTCTCATATTTTCAAGAAGAGGATTGTTGGTAGGTAACTTATAGCCCTAACGATGTACATTAATAAATAAGAAAAAAAAAGATAAATGAAATAAATATCCAATTCAAGCTATTAGGAAAAGACCAAAATGAATCTTAAAGAAAACCAAAATAAGTCATGTGTAGTGATTTATACTGTTAGAGAGAAAAATAAAAATAGGAATACATGAAAACAATAGATCAAATAGGTACTTAATTAAATCAAATAGGTGCTTCTTTAGAAAACCAGTAAAATATATAGACAAATGAGAGAAAACACAGGAAGTAAAAGAATGGTAAATAATCTCTGATGCGTAAGTACTTGAAGGAATCATCAGAATCTGTTTTCCTCAACTTTCTGTAAGTAATTTGCAAACTTGGATGAAGTGGATGATATTTTAGGAGAATATAAATTACCACAACTGACACCAGAAGAAAAAGAACATTTCAACAGACCTGTTATCATTGAAGAAATGTAGAAAGTTATCTAAGAGTTCCCTCCCTCAAGAAAAGTAACAATGCTAAATAGTTTCACAAATAAATTCTATAAAACTTTTAAGGAAAAATATTATCAACATTGTTTAAGATGTTTCATGACAGAGAATAAAAATGAGAACTTTAAAAAAAATGTGTTTATTAAAACAGCACATAACACTTGATACCAAAGTCTTACCAAAACAACACCAAAAAAGGAAATTCCAGATAAATCTTAATTATGAATGTTGGTGTAAAATCTTAAATAAAAAATCATGTTGAAATAACATACCATAGCCAAGAGGGTTTATTCCAGAAATGCAAAGGTAGTTGTATTGCCTACCTTTGTCTAAAAACTGTCAAAAATGTTAAACTCTGTGAGCTTCAGTAACTGTTTGATTCCCATGGTTTCATTTTGGAAGTTTCTGTTCTGGCATTAAATAAAGAGGACATTTGCCTTCTTAATATTTTTCAGACTTGGAGTATTTGTGGATGACCAAGGAATTATCTCCAAACCTTGACATTTATGAAGAAAAATTATCCCAGGCAATGATAATGGAAAGACTTACTACCTACAACCTTGAGTGTTCCATGTTAGGAAGGACCTGGAAATGTGAAGACCTGTTTGAGAGAGAGCTGGTAAATCCAAAGTCACATTTCAGGCAAGAGACAGTCACTCATATAGATGCACTTATTGAGGAAAGAGAGCACTTTAACAAGTCTGGGACGATTTTTCATCTGAATACATTATCTTATATAAAGCAGTTATTTCCCATTGAAGAGAGGATGTATAATTTTGACATAGAGGAGAAAAGCTTAAAAACACATTCATTTGTAAAAAAGCAGAAGCAAGTCTGTGGATCAAAGAAACTTTTGAAATGTAATGACTGTGAGAAAACTTTCAGCAAAATCTCAACCCTTTCTCTTCATCAAAGAATTCATACTGGAGAGAAACCCTATGAATGTATTGAGTGTGGGAAAGCCTTCAGCCAGAGTGCCCACCTTGCTCAACATCAGAGAGTTCACACAGGGGAAAAACCCTTTGGATGTGTTGAATGTGGGAAAACCTTCAGCCAGAATGCTCATCTAATTCAACATCAGAGAGTTCATACTGGAGAGAAACCTTATCAGTGTAAGCAGTGCATGAAAGCCTTCAGCCAGCTTGCACACCTCGCTCAGCATCAGAGAGTCCATACTGGAGAGAAACCCTATGAATGTATTGAATGTGGGAAGGCCTTTAGTGATTGTTCATCTCTAGCTCATCATCGAAGGATTCACACTGGAAAAAGACCCTATGAATGTGTTGACTGTGGGAAAGCCTTCAGGCAGAATGCTTCTCTCATACGTCATCGGAGATATTATCACACTGGAGAGAAACCCTTTGACTGTATCGATTGTGGGAAGGCTTTCACAGATCACATAGGACTTATTCAGCATAAGAGAATTCATACTGGAGAGAGACCCTACAAATGTAACGTGTGTGGGAAGGCTTTTAGCCATGGCTCATCGTTGACCGTACATCAGAGAATTCACACAGGAGAGAGACCTTATGAATGTACACTCTGTGGGAAAGCCTTTAGCCATCGTGGCTCACTTACTCTTCATCAAAGAGTTCATACTGGAGAGAAACCCTATGAGTGTAAGGAATGTGGGAAAGCTTTTCGGCAGAGCACACACCTCGCTCATCATCAGAGAATTCATACTGGAGAGAAACCTTATGAATGTAAGGAGTGCAGCAAAGCCTTCAGCCAGAATGCACACCTTGCACAACATCAGAAAATACACACAGGAGAGAAACCTTATGAGTGTAAGGAGTGTGGTAAGGCCTTCAGTCAGACAGCACACCTTGTTCAACACCAGAGAGTTCATACTGGCGAGAAGCCTTACGAATGTATTGAGTGTGGAAAGGCCTTTAGTGATGGCTCCTATCTTGTTCAACATCAGAGACTCCACACTGGCAAAAGACCATATGAATGTCTTGAATGCGGGAAGGCATTCAGACAGAGGGCATCCCTGATTTGTCACCAAAGATGTCATACAGGTGAGAAACCTTATGAATGTAACGTGTGTGGGAAAGCCTTTAGCCATCGTAAATCCCTGACTCTACATCAAAGAATTCATACTGGAGAGAAACCTTATGAGTGTCAGGAATGTAGCAAAGCCTTCAGCCAGATTGCCCATCTTACGCTCCATAAGAGAATCCATACTGGAGAAAGGCCCTATGAATGTAAGGAATGTGGAAAAGCCTTCAGGCAGAGTGTACATCTCACTCATCATCAGCGAATTCATACCGGAGAGTCCTCCTCAATTCTTCCTTCCCCCTCAGTCCTGTACCACCAAGTCCTCTAGATTCAATTTTCTAAATACCTCTAGACCCCATCCACTTCTTCCCATGTCTCATCATCATCATCCAAGATGCAACCATGGCATTGGGATTTCTGCAGTAACATCTCAGCCATTTTCCCTCTGGCTCCCCTCCAGTGCGTTTTTCACACTGTAGCCAGCTTAATCTCTTAAAAATAAAAATTTGTATTCATGGAACTTTTATATTCAAAGCACGTGTTTTGAAGAACATGTTAAAAAATCCATTTAATGGGCTTAGCACATAATCCTTGGCAGATGATTAGTGCCATTAGATAAAGTTTTCTTCACAGTTGTTCAGCTGTGAGTACAGTGAACCAGTAGAGGTCAAGACTAAGAAACTTACAGATTTTAGAGCAGACAGAGGACTCTACTCTCCCAGTAAGTAGAAAAGACTGACACATTCAGAGTTGAAGGGTGTATATGATATGCAGGGTAACATGGTGGCTTATAAATCCCTCTATGAATTAATATAAGGACACAGAGCATTATTGATGAGGAACTCTCCCTCTACCTGGCACCTAGAAGTGAGAATAGGCATTTAGAACAAAAGAGTTTGGAAGAATGTAAGACTAGCCAGAGGACAGTATTTAAAAAAACCAAACTAAACAAGCTAGGAAACTCAACTAGATTAATAGCCATGAAATAAACCAAAAAAGGTACTTCATTACTTTCTCCTGTAGACATGTATCAGAGACAATTCCTGTGATATTTATATTGTTCCAGAGCGTGAAATACAGTAAAGCTTCCCTTCTTGTTTTGAAACTGAAAGCCGATACCAAAACAAAACCATAGGAACTGCAATTAGTTCACAAATGGACATGTTAAAATGTACTTAAACTTATTTTTTAAATATTGAAAAATAAAGTAAATGGAAGGTAGACATGTCTCTGTTTAGAAGGACCTGTCTAGCAAAGGTATTTCTCCCCACATTAAATATGTAAATTCATTAATAGTCCATAAAAATCCCAATGTATTTCCAAGTTGACAGTCTCATTCTGACCATCTGTGGAATTGTGACACAGCAAGGAATGCAGCATTATTCCATTGGGAAGATAGCACTCATTCAATTAACATTAGTTGAGCCTTTACTAATGTGCCAGGCACTGTTTCAGGTGTTGGAGAGACAACAGGTGCAAAACTACAAAAACAATTTGCCCTCACAGATCTAGTGGGAGAAGACAAAAAAAGAGGAACTACGTGCTGCGTGGTAAGTACATGATATGTATCATGACAAGAAAATTATCTAAAGGAGCTAGGGAGTTCCGGGAGGAGTGCCTTACTACCCCCAGTATACGTGAGCAGCAGAGGTGGGGGAAGAACGAGAGGTAACTGTCAGACACAAAGGCCATGAAGGGAAGCCATGGTAGTCCCAAGGCAGGTAGTTACAATGCTTTCAGTGCAGCAGAGAGAACTGATGGTTAAACAAGGGTCATGAGAGTTCTGTTCACTCTCTATTAATAGTGATTTAGAGGCTGGTGGAGGGGTTTTTTTATAACAGCCTTATTGAGATATAATTCACATATCATACAATTCACCCATTTAGAGTATACGAGTCAATGACTTTTATGTTCAGAGTTGTGCAACCATCACCACAGTTAATAAAACATTTTCATCACCCATAAAGAAATCCTGTGCCCTTTAGTAATCCCCCAACCCTTGCCCCCGGAGGAGTACTCTTACCTGGAGAACCAGAGCTCTTGGGTTCCCTCATGACTGCTCCAGCAGTGGGTACAGAGGACCACATGAGAGGAGCTCTTATCCAGAGACTGCTAGAAAGTGGAGCTTTGGGGCTCCATCTTTTCTTCAGCATAGAAGCTATGAGATGGGTGGTCTTATCCCAAGTATGTGGAGTTTCTAGACTCTATATATGACAAAAAGGATTCTTTGTTGCATTGGGAAAAAGATGAAGTGATCAAATGGCATTGGGACACCGAGCTCTCTGGAGAAAGATAGATCATCGATCCCTTGCACACTAATGAAGCTCGGAAGGATTAAAGATCTAAATGTAAGATATTAAGGTACAAGAAAAACTTAGAATGTTTGTATAACCCCAGCTTGAGGCAGATCTTCTTAAGCATTAACATAACCCAGGAGCTGATGTTAAACTAAATAACATTTATGTGTGGAAAACATCAGAGTCAAAGTTAATAGACAAACAAGAGACTAAAAGAAAATGTTTGCAACAAATAAAGGATAATTCCTGATATTCAAAGTACTATTACAAATCAGTAATAGTAACATCTGCAACTCAGTAGAAAAAGGGACAAAGTTAACAGGCAGTTCAAAGATGAAATAAAAACAGTTAATGAAAATTATTGAATATCACCAGTAATCAGAAAAATGCAAATCAAAGTGATGATATATCTACTTCCCTCCCCCCGTCTCCATAGCTTGATTTTAAATCATAGAAGAGTGATAATATCCAGTTTTGGTGAACATATGAAAAACAAGACAATTTATTTAAATGTCAGTTATATAACTTGCCATATGTGTATACTATTTGAATCAACATTCCTCAGAAACCAAAGTGTACAAAGGTAGGTAAATATATAATGGCAAAAAACAATTCTTTTTCTAATGGTAAACTATTAGGATAATGAGTCAGTGGTAAGTTAATTACTGTGTATTCATTTGATGGAATTATATGCAGTTGTTGAAAAAAGAATTATAAATATGTATATAGCCATAGAGAGATAACTGTGCTATATTAAATGAAAAGTTTTTGAGACCTGTATTCTAGCATAAATTCATAATTGTAATATAAAAAATAAAACCTAAAGTATGTTTTTCTGTTTTTCCCTGATCAGTTTTCGTCCTTTTAACGATACCATATCTTCTTTTCCATTGAGTAACTGGCATATGGTTCTGATGGATCTGGCTGGTCAAATTCTCTGGAGTTTGAAAGGGTCTGTGTCATCCGGTGGCAGCTCCCTGAAGGGGTGATGCTGGTGTCATGGTTGTGATCTTTGGACCCACCCTAGATTTTGTCAAACTACCCATTATCCTTCCAGTTCTTCATTTTGGGCTTATATTGCTCATTTGCCAGCAATTAAAGACTCTTAGCCAGTACGGAATTTGGTGTGAAGATTGGGTGATAGGCAATAGATTCTTGACAAAATCTGAGGTGTTAGGGATTGGTTTGGGGTAAAATGGGGCAAGTAAGATTCCTGATTCTTTTCTAACCTATGAAAAGTAACAACTCATGTGTACTGGGCAAACAAACAAGTGAGTTCTTGGCTAGAGTCACCTGAGGGCCCTGGATAATGACAGTTTTAAGAGGACAAGGAATGCCAAGTCCAAAGAATGTATATGATGCTGGTATCTAACTTCTTTGGGTAATTTAAAACTCTGATCATGAACTTCTAGCGTCAAGGCAAAAAATTTCAGGGGTCTTTGTATGATATTGTCGAAGGATGTCTTATATTGTTTGAAGTCATAGGATTAAGATTGCTCAAAACCAAATTGAGAGACTCCTTTTATGGGTTGCTAATAAAGTAGGGTTGCAGGTTATATTCCATATTTTAACATGGAGTGGTTGTTGTGGACTGAATTGTACCCCCCTCCCAAATTCATATGTTGAAGCCCTAAACCCAATGTGACTGTATTTGGAGCTCAGGTCTTTAAGGAGGAAGTTAAAGTTAAATGATGTGATATGTGTGGGGGCCTAATCTGATAGGACTGGTGTCCTTATAAGAAGGAGAAGAGATACCAAAGCTACTGAGAGAAGTGACAACTGAGAAATGTTTCTGGCAATTTTTTCCAGAAAGACTGACCTTTACAGGAAGTTGGTCTGGAGGTGACACTGGAGCCGTGGGTAAGTTGAGGGAGTCAGCATTTCTAGATCACAGCAGGAAGAATGCCCACTGCCTGCTGCAGATGTGACCTTCACATGAGTGTTTGTGCTCCCTGTAGCCAAGGAACCTGGAACTCAGAGTGCATGTACCTCACAGAATATTCCAGAACACTCCTCATAAGGACAATAAGTGGTCTCTGGGGGCTACTGTTCTTGCCACTAAACACTATGAATATGGGTCTCAAAAGGAGACAGTCTGATTTACAAGTGATCCCGAGTAACAAATTGGGTGGCACCATCAAGATACCTTTCTACCCAATATTCCTGAGTTTTTAATTAATATCATTATTGGCATTTTAAAATATGATGTTTTTAAAATAAGAGAAATAGTAGACTTTAATCAAATTGCAAATAATGTTAAAGGAAAGGTGATCAAAAGAGAAAATTGACTCAACAAGTTAAATAGACAGTGACTTAAAGTGAATGTTGACATCAAAAAATCAAAATAATTTAGAAAGAACACATTGTTTTGAAAACATGTGAAACAGATGTAAGGTTTTCTTGGAGGTCCATAAAATCAATCAATTATGTAAACTTATCAGTTGAAACTATTTTTAAAATTCTGCTCTCAGAGTATTTCCTTCTTTGGGGAACAAAAATGTAGGTATCCTGAAAATGTTGCTTCAATACATAGAACAAAAGTCTCGAAAGCAAGACTTGAGATGAAGTGACAAAGTGATCTTTTAAAATGCATGAATGTTGTGTAAATAGCTAAATGCACAAAAAGCTGCCAATCATTCCATACTACCATGAAGTGACAAAGGAAAAAAAATTATCAGAACCTAATTAAAAAATAAGTGGGGGAGGGAGGAGGAGGAGGAGAAGAAAAGAGAGAAATGCATATATAAATTGGGTCCCAGCTGGGCTTTTGGTCCTGAGGGTAGCAGAGGAGGCTCAGCCTGGCCCCCCTGCACTGTTCTTTTGCAGTCTCCTCCTCTGGAGAGGTCACAGAGGGGAGAGTCAGTTGCTGGATACAGGCACACATGCCCTAACTCTAAGACTTGGAAGGCTGGAAAGAGTCCTGGGGAGGGGAAGGGTCTCCTTATCTGGTGTAGAAGATCAAATGGGCTGCAGGTGACAAAGAAACCAGCCCCATGAGCAAGGTGAGGCCAGAGTTCCCCCATTCCACAGGGACAGTGCTATGGACTGGGTGTATCGCCCATCCCAGATTCATATGTTGAACCCTAATCCCCAAGGTGATGGCATTAGGAGGTGGGACCCGGGAGGTGGAGAGACCTCATGAATGGGATACCAGCCCAGCTCACAGAGTGGGGGCCATACTCCATGCCTTGTATCCTCCCCGAAACCAAATCCATACCTGGGACATGCACTGAGAGCCCATCATATTGGTAATGCTATTTGGCAGTAGGTCCTCTCTCTCTCTCCCTGAAAGTAGGATGTTCCCATGTCCCCCATCTGGGCATCCCTGATGCTCGGGGGTCCCCCAGCAGGCACATTGGGTGTCCTGCGCTTTTGGGGCTGGGTCATTTGTGACCAGTGGATCGTTCAAATGAAAATGAGCACCATCATGGAACCAGTACCCACGAGCTGGGAACGGACCAGTCAAGACATCCTGGAGGATGGGTGGAGGTGTTGGACACCTGGACACACAGACCCGCCTCGAGCATCACCCAACTCCCACACTGCCAGCTGGAATTTTGGATCCTGAGCCAGGTGCTCTGGGAGAAACAAGCCTGAAAACCCCGGTAGCCCCTCCCTGTTCGCCCTCCTTTGGGCCAGAGAGACAGACAGACAGCAATGGGGCCTCTGTGTTGGAGGAGCCAGGTACCTGCCTCGGTACCACCTGGTTTCCAGAGGAGCGGCAGAGAATGAAAGCCCAGCTGGAAGCTGCTGGGTGAGGTTTGGGTAGTGACTTTGCCCCGAACAGGAACTTCAGACCCATGGGCCTCAGGGGTTGGGCAACTCTGGAAGACCCTCTGGTTCTACCTCCCCAGGTGCACTAGTCTGAGAGGCACTAGTCTCCCATCACAAAATTCTACAGCATGGGTGGCTTAAACACAGATTTGTTTTCTCGCAGTTCTAGAGGCAAGATCAAGGTGTGGGCAGGTTGATTCCTCCTGAGACCTCTCTTCTTGGCTTTTAGATGGCTGTCTTCTCCCCGTGTCCTCACGTGGTTGTTCTCTGTGCATGTTTGCATCCTAATCTCTTATGAGGACACCTCTCAGATTGGATTAGGACCCATCCAAATGGCCTCATTTTAACTCAGTCACCTTTTCAAAGATCTTATCTCCAAACATGGTTACATTCTGATGTCCTGGGACTTAGGGCTTCAACATATGAATTGGTGCAGGGGATGCAAGTCAGCCCATAACACCAGATTTCAAGGTCTCTGAGATGTCCCATCACTCTACTGGGAATAAGAATTCTCATTTGAATCCTCTACATTTTGTAGGCAGAGACAACACGTGCCTGATAAAGGACATTTATACAAAATATACAATGAACTCTAAAAACTCAACAATAAGAAAACAACCCAATTGAAAAATGGGCAAAGGATCTGAACAGACACCTCAACGAAGAAGATATACAGATGGCAAATAAGCATAGAAGATGCTTTTCATTCCATGTCATTAGAGAATTGCAAACTACACACCTATTAAAATGGCAAAAGTCCAGAAGGAATTGACAACACCAAATGCTGGGGAGGATATGAGGCAAGGGGGTTCTCATTTGTTGCTGGTGGGAATGCAAAATGATGTAGCCACTTTGGGTGACAGTTTGGCTGTTTCTTACAAGGCTAGTCTTACCATACCATCCAACAGTCATGCTCCTAGGTATTTACTCACATGAGTTGAAGACTTGTCCACAGACAGAAAGCTGCACATGGATGTTTATAGCAGTTTTATACAACCACCCAGATGTCCTTTAATAAATGAATGGATAAACAGACTGTGGTAAATTT